GATGCACAAGTATGTCGGTCCGAACCTATCGTCATTGCGCCACGCTAACCCTTTTCTATAGGACCTCCTCGTTGATCGGTTCCCATTGCCGCGGTACATTGTTTGCGACCAAGGCGGCAGCCAGGCTCGTTTCCTTTTGTCCAAGTTGAATCCTTCGACGACACACTTGTCGGGTGCAATGTACGATGGGTCCAGCGGTGCAGAGGGAGCGGCTATCTTTACGGACGACGTCAGTTTGCAAGTGTTCACGGAGCATCTGAAGCGCTTGGTGAGTCCCAACGAATGAACATCCGCCTTCAGATCTCACTCACTCTGTTCCTTTCTTAGGCTGTCGGAGCATCTGCTTCATAGATAGTGATAAATACGCATATGCATGTATCTGCTAGCATTCAATCCATCTAACAACCCATTGTCGAACCGCCATCCATTGTCAGACCTTGAGTTTTAGTTGTAGTGTGCTTGTCAAGGAGAGGGCGGCTGAGGCGACACGTGAGGGTAAACAAACCGAACGCGTTAAGCCAGTCCAACTTCAAATACCACCCACCACCATGACCTCCCCCCTCCTCGCGCCGCGATCGTCTATAGACAGCTCAGAAACGCCCGTCTCAATTGAGAGAGTCAGAGAGTCAGTCCGCTCGAGCTAACCTTGTGCCCCTCATGCTTAACACAACACCCATCGCCAGAGTTCAAGATGCCGTTGAGAAAGTGTCTCCATACCTTGCAGAATACAAGAAGGCCTACCTCGAACGAGCCGAACGCGGAGAATTCAACACCCTAGGCTCTTCACAGTCGATGCTATCAAGGCACCCTACGTATCCGGTTCTTATGCGGAGTGAGGCGGCTCTCCAGCAGGTCCGTGTTGTCGAAGCCACCCGCCTCCTCGGTCTGGTGTAGTAACGCGTCCCCTTGCTGTCAGGAATACTTGAAGAAGCTGAAGTCGAAGTTCATCGAGACCGCCGCCAAGGCCCAGTTTCTGCGGTTCATACGGAATGACGACGGCCAGCAATGGGGAGCGGAGGAGAACGAGCAGCTCGGTCGGTCCAACGTCTCGAATGATAGCGCAATGTTCAACCTTGGCTCATGTATGATTGATGACAGAGGCTCAAAATCAAAAGGAGAAGGCTGAGTTGAGGGAAACCAAGATACGATTACAACAGTCCTTCGGTCGCGCTATTGAGCTTGCACGGGAGCTCGAGGCCGAGAGACCCCTCTTGGTCAAAGAAGCTAAAGAAGCCAACAGACTGGCCAAGGAGGTCAGCGAAATGCGACTTGAGTTGATGCGGTTGGGCAGGGACAAGCCTGTGGAAGAGGTATGGAAGGCTTGCTGTCCCTTTTTGAATCTGTGCGCAAACTTCTGCCATTCCCATTAGCGTCTGACGATCTCAGAAGCGGAGAATATACTTGACAACCAGATAGTGCAGCTGCAAGATCTTGATACCAAGCTTCATTCGATTCAGGAAAGCGCCGTGGAATATAAATCTGCTGCCAAGAAGGTCGAAAAGGAAATCGAAGCTTTACGACCGACTGTTGTTCAAGTCAAAGCTCAGCTACAAGCAGATGCTGCAGCCACCCGAGCAGAAGGAAGAGAGGAAGCAGAAGCCATGTCGCGAATGTGTGACTGGTGAGGAATTTGGACCAACGGTTGGTACTCGTGTCTGATATCCATTACCTTGTAGGTATACCTCCGCTGAAGACATGTACAAAGACCTGTTTGGACTAGAAGCGCTTGATACGCCTTCTGAGAACGAAATGGTACTCCAATATTCGAAGCCGGTCCCATACACGGTGTCGCTTGTTTTCAACCCGACCACGAAGCGACTTGCAGATGCGAAAGTATGTCTTGGCGCAATTTGGTTGTGTCGTAGTATCTCACTTATTTTCTCGTGATCTCCAGCTTATCGGACTACCCGGAGTCGATATTACCGAACCTCGCGACCTAGCTCTTGATGCTAATGATGGAAGACAACTGTTGGCTTATTTGAGGCTGAGGGCGGCTCTTGCAGCCAATGGTCATGCCTGAATTTCCGTTGGAGTCACCTGAGCGTACGTCTATTCTTAGCATCCTTCTTTAATGCATGTCTGCTGTGTATCTTTATTGGTTTTGAATCCCAGTCCTTTTACCCGAGAAATGAAGGCATAAGCGCTTGAAACGGAGGAGACGTCCCGCGTTTCGGAACTCGGTAGCTTTTCCGGTTCGACCCAATATACTCACGTCCCCCGCGAGCCCGCCATTCACTGCTACATTTGACCTCCTTTGGCCTTTACGACGGGGACGAGAATGCCTAGATGAGGTTTATAGGCGGCGCGGCGGGCCGGCTATCCGGCCCGCCCGCGGCTGCTTTCCAGACCGGGGATGTCACCCGACCCGCGAACCACCCGTCTCTCCGTCGATTGGACTGAATAAAAGCACTGATCTGACTGCGTCTCGTTCTGAACCTTCAATTCTTCCCTCTCATCTTTCGCTATACCTCATTTCCGTCTTCCACCATGACCACCATCACAGGCTGCGAGACGCGGGGTGAGGACAGATCTGAACATCGCGCCTTGGATCGCTGCTGACGGTTTTGACTCTTAGACGTTCGTTTCCCTACCAGCTTGACTGGAGATGGCACCGATGCTATGTAAGGATCCAGCGCATTCCACGTTTAGATCGAGTAGAGCTGAGCGTGCCCGTTCGGACCTTTAGGAACACTGAATGCGACTACTCGTCTGCCTACGTTATCCTCCACACCTCTGACCCGAGCCTGACTGGTCAAGGCATGACCTTTACCATTGGCAGAGGAAACGACATTGTAAGATGAGGGAAGGCAATGTTACCGAGCTTCGTCTCTAAACCCGATCACGTAGGTTTGCATCGCGATCAAGGAGGTCGCTAAGCGTCTTGTCGGCAAAAAGCTTGAGGATCTCTTTGCCAACATGGGCAAGACTTGGGATTATATGCTCGCCGATCCCCAGCTCAGATGGTCAGTAAGATGCACTGAAACGGTGAATCATGGCCGCCAATGCTCATCTCTGCATCCACTGCAGGCTCGGTCCGGAAAAGGGTGTCATCCACATCGCCTCAGGTGCAGTCAACAATGCTGTTTGGGACTTGTACGCGAAATCGAGGAAGAAGCCTTTGTGGAAGCTCGTCTCTGACATGTCTCCTGTGAGCCAAGACTATCGGACGCGACTCTGAGCCATCCTAAATAGCCCTTTCTCGTATACAGGAGGAGATCGTGAACTCGACGGCGTTCCGCTACATATCTGATGCCATCACCCGCGAGGAAGCCATTTCGATGCTCAAGTCTCGGGAAGCTGGCAAGGCTGAGCGTGAGGCAAAAGTTCGGGAGCTTGGGTGAGTACGGTCACTTCACCCCCTAGATGATCCACCGCTGATGCCCGACTTAGCTACCCTGCCTACGTTACATCTGCTGGTTGGCTCGGATACGACGACGAAAAAGTTGCACGGCTGACCAAGGAGGCCGTGACTGCCGGTTTCAATCATTTCAAGGTAAGTCCCCTGTCATGAGTTTGTACGGTTGCATCTCTAATAGAGATCCTCCCTTGTAGATGAAAGTCGGTCAAAACGTCGAGGACGACCTCCGACGAGGGAGGATCATTCGCTCCATCATCGACGACCCTCAGTACCTCCCTCCTGGTCACGTCGCCCGTGACCCGGCCAGTCTCGTCGGAAAGAACGCCGGGCCCACCGGTGCTGTGTTCATGGTCGATGCCAACCAGGTCCGTTGAGCACTTGGTTTCAAAGTAATTGAACCCGTGCTAAAGTTTTGAAACAGGTTTGGGACGTCCCACAAGCCATCGAGTATGTGAAGAAGCTCGAGGAAGTGAAGCCATGGTTCATTGAGGAGCCGACTGCTCCCGATGACATCTTGGTGTGTCTGAGTCCCTAATCTAATCATTTGAATGTTTGATATTGATTTGATAACTGCGTAGGGTCACGCTGCCATTCGCAAAGCTCTCAAGCCTCACGGAATCGGTGTCGCTACCGGCGAGCACGCTCACAACCGGATGGTTTTCAAGCAGTTGCTACAAGCAGAGGCTATTGATGTTGTCCAGATCGACTCTTGCCGTCTAGCTGGCGTCAGCGAGGTCCTTGCTGTTCTTCTTATGGCTGCCAAGTACGTTCCGATATCCAAGTGTCGATATCTAAGTGTGTTGTCTGTAACTGACGCTTCCGTTTACGTTGTCTCTAGGTTCGGCGTTCCGGTTTGCCCTCACGCTGGTGGTGTCGGCCTGTGCGAATACGTCATTCACCTTTCTTTGATCGACTACATTGCTGTTTCCGGGACGATGGAACGCAACGTCTTGGAGTTCGTCGACCATCTTCACGAGCACTTCATCTACCCTTGCTCGATCAACTCTCAAGGTCGCTACAATGTTCCCAACAACGCGGAAGAGGGCTATAGGTACGTTACACTAGTCTTTGTAAAGCACACGGTACTGATCGCAAACGTTCTCCGTTCAGTATCCAAATGCATGACTCCAGTATCGCCGAGTACGAATGGCCTAATGGATCGTACTGGGTTAAGTCGAACGCTGAGAAGGCAAATGCTTAAGCTCCAAAACCAAATTAATTTTGGCTCTAGAAATCTTTATTTAGTTATGTAAAACGTCTTGAATAATGGTTTCTCGGCTTCATACGATCACATTGCTCGAAAGGTGCCAGAACGAACCCTTACGCGGGGATTGCGAAGGGGCAAGGAGTCTACGATCGTCGATGAAGTAAATTCAGAGCACGGAGACTATAAGACACGCTATGGCTGTCTTCAAAGACGAACGAACGTGTTTCATGGCCAACATGCCGATGATGCGGTTCTGTGAGTGAACATGGAGGTCGTCGACGTAAAGCGCCTGTTGCTGCATGGTGGACAGCAGATATTCCGGTGTCTTCTTTATTGGTAGCCCTTTAAAAGAAGAGCTGGATTCTTAGATCACTAAAGAGGTTTGATTCTATTTATGGACAATATAAACTTACAAGGATGATTGCCCTCCATCAGGCCGTCATAGCTCAGTTGGGAGAGCGACAGACTGAAGATTACGCAATCAAAAAGATTACATAATCGGTTTCTGCAGGTCACCCGTTCGATCCGGGTTGACGGCAATCTTTTTGCTTCTTCGTGATTTTTGCGCAATTTACGTACTTGGGGACTCTCTGTTTAGGAAAAGAGGGTTAAAGATTCGCTACAAGCCTTTGCGAGCATATATTACATCCTTGATCTTCATATTTTGCTCGTGGAATATGCCTGGAGGAAACGCCGTCGACCCGGATCGAACGGGTGATATACACCAGCACCTAACACTGTCCAATACTTCGAGCGAGCTCATCCAAACCCTCCTTAACTTCCTTTAAAGAGCTATGGGAGCTTAAGTAGTCGGAATGGGAGACGTGGGCTCGTAGCCGGCATTCGGCGCCGAAAATGTTTCCCTGAACAGGGGACGATATAGCCATTGCTGTTCCTGCCGGGACCGCTCGTACTGCACACACACATCCATCCATCGGAGCTTAAATAAGGCATCCCACATTTATGCGAAGCTAGCTATGCGCAGTAAGTACTGGTACGCAGAGTTTAATTTATAATTCCAACGCCGGCGTTTGCCAGGACGTAAGCGGGGACGTCGGCGACACCCTTGGGCTTGAAGCTCTTGACCACAGACTATGAAGAAAGATTGTATTAGAAGAGAGGTTGGCAAACAGGCCCGTAATAACACTTACGTAGTTTGAGAAGCTACTAAAGAACGCTTGACGTGATGCAAGCCGTGACAGATCCCGAGGACTCGAATCTGTTCCACTCGCAAACGCGACCCAGATATGAGGAGCATGCACCAGCGTCTGCGACTGTTTGAACAAAGTATTCGAGTCCTCCAGAAGCGATGCCCGTGTCCGGCGTAGTAACAGATTCCTGTGTTGGCCTCGTCAAGAGAGATGCTTCGTGAATGGGAAAAGGTCTAACTTACAAAGTAGTTGCCTTCCGTGAGGATAATCGATCCATCCCCAGCATCGATCGCATGACCACCGATGGTGTCGTAGTAGTCTAAACGCGATTCAGAAGGTTGAGTGACGTAACAGTCAAGAGAATAGCCCTTTCTGTGACAGACTCACTGTTCGCAAGGTGAATGTATGCGGTGTAGCCGGTAGCACCACCTAAGCATCGAGTTTCAACAAGGCAGTTCCGCCATATCAGTCTCGCAAAGATTAGATCTCGTACCAGCGTGAGGACCACGGCCTGTCCCAACGAAAACTATCAACTATCTGCTACCCAAGTTCGTTCGAGTGTAATCATACCTGACGTGTAATAGATGTGATTGTAGATGAAGGTGATCTCATCGGTCTTTCCGTCAAAGATGATTGCCCAGTAATGCATCCCTAGAGCCCGACTAAGCCAGGAACTCAACACAGGGGTCGCGTTTCAACGTACATTACAACTGTATATAGTTTCGCGAACCGTAAGCAGAAAGTCAATTGTACCGCGAATGACTTAGCTTACGTGACACTATACGAGGATTGGCCATCGAAGTAGTTGTTGCTGATCGTAACTGCGGTGTTGGGGTCGAAGCCGCTGTCGCCGTGAAAGAATTAGACTCATACAAGACAGCAGGCTAAAGTACTGACGTGACAATGAATTGACGTCCCATACGAGCAAAGTAACAGTGGTCGATCCAAACTTTGGAGGATCCTCCAATGGCGACTGAAACATAGAAATTTGTTGGTTGCAACTGCAAAACGATCTGGAGCGTCGGATCGTACTTCCATCCCCTCCCCAGACCATAGAAGGGCTTCATCGACCTATGTCAGCTCTTTGGTGTCAGACTCGCTGTACGCCAACTTACTTGAGATCGGTGATCTTGATATCTGGTGCGGGATCGTTCAATTACTTGGGATATGAAGTCTCGCAAATCCACGCACTTTGAACAATGACGTTGGAGACTCCTCGGATCCAAAGACCGATCCCTTTACTGAGAGAAGATGACGAAGATCAGAGGTGACTGTCGACACCTGGCTGTCTCTTTGCTTACACTCCAGCATTGCTGCCCTTTCCCAGGATGGTCTTATTGCTTCCGACGGAGAGGCCTTTATTCTGACCAGAGTTGTACTAAGTGACCGATTATAGGGTTCTTATGTCAGGGTCGAACGTAAGTGCGCACATCAAGCGCAGCCGAGAGCAGTACGATCTCACTTTCCATCACAGCCTCCCGCGACAGTGTTGAGCAACATCTCGGGAGTGGCGCCGTTGGTACAAACATATTGTTTGCAAGCTGTTCCTGTTGCGGTGCCGTCTGATTTAAAGGTAAGTCGTTGGTTTGCAAGCCGTCCGAGATTTGGTAAATACAATAGTCCGTAAAATCGAAGACCTTAGTGAGGACAACAGTCCGCTATAAGTGACAGAGAAAGAGATGTCATCAAAGCGGAAGAAGGGAAAGTACAGGGTCTTACGGCAGTGGTATCTGCAAGGTAGGTGAGCAACTCCGCTGTCGTAGTAGGAGTAACTGTCGGGCGGCCAGCGCCTCCGGTAGTTCCTAATAAATATGCGAGTCAGCACAGGATAGGCCAGATGATCTTTAACGGTAAAGTACCTGAAGCAAAGCCAATAGGAGAGCCAATGGCCGAGCTACCAGAAGAGCTGGAAGTTGTAGTCGTCTTAGTAGCTGTAGTCGTGGTGGTGATTTTCACAGTCGGTGCAGTCGTAGTGGTAGATGATGCGAGACACTGAGAGTAATAATCGTTTTGATAAATACAAGTGAGACCAGAGTCACAGGTCGTCGACCCTGTTCGGATGGATATCGTTGATGTTGGTGGATTGTGGAAGGAGCAGCATCAAGCTTCACCAGTGTAACCAGTTCCGCCACATTGGCCTAGGCAAAGTTCTCAGTAAGCTGACTCAAAGACACGCTTTTTGGGCCCCTTACCGTAGACTGCAACGGTGAGAACAGAGCGAGCAGCGAGCAGAGTGACAAAAACACCGGTCAATGCGAGAGACCTCATGACGAGACTGGGTGCTGGAACGAAAGCGACCAAGAGTATTTCTCCTTTTTATAAACCCTCGAGATCATCGAGCTTGCTAAAGAAATTCGCCAGAATACCTATGATATACCAATGAATCTCAAGCGTTTGCCTTGAGCAGAAGCGAGGACATACCATATCGTGCTTATTCCACCAAGGAACGGTCAAACAGGCAGATGAGAATAATAAATCAGCCCTGCGCATCATCGACTTCGAGAAGCTAAGAACATGGCTTAAGCCTCTCATGGGACCTGTGAAATACTCCGAGGGCACTTCTTGATGCTAAGAAACTAGGCTTTGCTCCGATGGTTCGCGGGCCCATTTGAAATAAATCCTTGTGACAGCACGATCGGCTGCAAAAGCGCCTTACGAATAGATGAGCTACATTACTTCTCTAATCCCATCTCGTAGAGGAGAACAATTTGCTTGAATCAAGACCGCACAGGCAGCATAATAGCCGTCTACGACCGGACCGATAGTAACCGACAGTCCCAAGCAGTCCGAGATGGTGCGGATCCGATGAGGTACTGGAGTAAACGCGGTATGTTAAAGAGGATATCGCTGGTCCTGATAGGACCCGCGAAGGCTTCTTTGCTGGGCATCGCCTTCTGCTCCCATAGTAACCACTCGGTTTTAGTGTTGCCGCGGAGCGAAGCGAAGCCAAGCGGAGTGCGCACTTCGACTCACTTCGACAATTCGAAGTGGATCGAAGCGAAGTATCGAGAAACTTCGATGAGCGACCGAAAGCCGTGGGACTGTCGTGTTTGCGTTCGACGTTAGCATACCCGGCAGCCTTGAGGACACAGAAAATAAAGCACGATGTAGTCCTGCTGACCTAACGTGTTGTTTATACATAATTTTAGAAACAACATATATGCTCTAAATTTCGATGTACCCTACACCATCCGCGGAGAAGAAATCGAGTGGTAGGTCATTGAATCAGTACATTGCATGTCCAACAGAGAGATTTCTCGAGCTTCCGATGAGCTCGAGGAGGCTGGAAATGACCATCTCAGCCTAACGGTATCTATTGAATGCAGCGCAGGGGATCGAGAGAGAGGCTGGGTGCAGCGTGTTTGCCACAAACTATGATTTGAGGTTGGACCGCGCAACTTACGGAAGGGTGGCCTGCTCATTTGAGGGAATCACGTGTTATATCTGCAAAAAAATGGCTGATGGGAACCTGCTTCCCAGTGACATCGAAGTCTCTCGAAGTTCACTTCGACTCCCTTCGATGAGTCGAAGTTGACCGATGTCAGGGTTTGTCGAAGCGAACCGAAGTGCACTTCGAGAGAACTTCGAAGTCCACGGCAACACTACTCGGCTCAAATACCGGTTACGGACCGAGCCTGATAAAATCGAAAGGAGATTGGTTGAGACTGGTGGAGATGGAGTAAACGAAGTTCTGCGTGATTTCACGATGACAAACGCCAATCAAGTCTCCTGGGGCAATGTGTTGTGGAAAACAGCCCTGAGTTGAGTTGAGGTTCGAGAAATCATTCGGGACATAGAAAAGAAGCTCGGCTCGGTCTAGTTAGTAGTAAATCCCCTTAGTTTGATTGATTGATTGAGAAGGTGTCATCGCGTGTGGTTGTTGGAGTCTCATTTGGGGCAACCCAGTCGTTTGAGGATTTGGGATGTAATGACAACGCTGAGGAAAGAAGCGGAAGGGTGTCCCAGGCAGTTTCGTAGACACTGAATAACAACAATGTGCTGGGAGATGGTCTCCTCGCATTCGATTATAGAGTCCAAAGTGAGGTGCGGGTGGTCGGAGTTGGAATCAGTGGAAGACACCGCACCGTGCGAATACCGTGACTGGACGCGCGTCGCGATCGGGTCTGAAGGTCCAGGACCCACAGAACTCGTCATTCAACAACCTCTTTCTCTATTTTTACTCTACACGTATGGCGTCGAAAAAGGAAGAAGCAGCCAAAATGCAAGTCGACGAGCCAGTCAAGGCTTCCACTACTACGCCAACGCCCGAAGTGAAGCCCGCGCCGACTCCAGCGGAGGAAATCCGAGCGAACTTGCAGCTCATCGAACGTGCCGTCTCTACGTTGGAACCGCGATTCACAGCCCGCGTACTTAGGAGCTTGACTACT